GTCACAGGAGGCTGTGGGTTGGCAGCGTGGGGCACTGGCAGATCTGGGGGGCGCCGAGCCCAGGGTGGGGGTCACAGGAGGCTGTGGGTTGGCAGCGTGGGGCACTGGCAGATCTGGGGGGCGCCGAGCCCAGGGTGGGGTCGCAGGGTTGGGCTGGCGTGCAGCTCTGTGAACACAGTTCCTCCAGACTGCCACTGTTTCCACGCTGGGGAGGTGGGGAGGGGAGGGGAGAGGGAGAAGACTCTGCTCGCCGCCCTCGGGGCTGGAATCTCTGATTCACATCAGGCTGCGGGTTCCGGGCCCCTCTTAGGCGCTCCGTGGGTGTGACTTCCCTGCCAGCCCCTGGCCCCCCCCACCCGCCCGGGCTCAGCCCTGGCACGTTCACATGCTGCCTCTGCTGTCTGCAGCCAGCAGCTGAAATCTCAGCCCCACACACGTGCCCACGTGGCAGGCAGCTCCCCGCAACACGGCACAGCTGAAAGCTGGACCCTGGTGCCCCCATGGCAGCACAGAGCAGGGCTGAGATGCAGCCACTTCTGGGGTGAGTCACGGTGGCTGGGTGAAATCTCCACCCCAGCGCCTAGATCCAGCCTGTTCTGGGGGGCAGCAGGCAGATGAGACGAGGCCCAGTGCTGGCAGCTGTGTTGGCCCCAGTGCCCTGGCATCTAGGCATCCCCAGGGGATGAGCGCCATGACCCCCTGGGCCCGGGGTCCTGGGTTCAGGTTCTGTCCCACCCCAGAGCTGGCTGCATTTCTGACCATGGGGGCAGGGGCAGGAGCCCCTGCCTGGGTCCCAGGAGGCGGTGGGGCAGGGCGGTCTTCACGGCCCGCCCCACGTGCTGCCCCGTCAGTGGGGCGGTGAGTCACCCCCTTACATAACCACGGCCGCCCCAGGCAGGAGCTGCGCCAAGCGCCGGGGCTGGCAGCGCCCGGCCCTGCTTGGGGGGCTGCACACGGACCACGCCAGCAGGGGGTGCCCAGGCTGGGCCCAGGGGCCTCTGGGTAATGGGCTGTGGAGCCCCTTTGGGGAGCAAGGGGTTCTGTTTAATGGGGTGGGGTGCCCATGCCCCAAAGGCTTCTGGGTAACAAGGGATGGGATGCCCATGCCCCAAAGGCTTCTGGGTAATAAGGGATGGGCTGCCCAGGCCCCAGGGGCTTCTGGGTAACAAGGGATGGGCTGCCCAGGCCCCAGGGGCTTCTGGGTGAAGGAATATGGGGGCTGCCTTGTGCCCCCCTTTTCCCTGCTGCAGCCCCACGCCCGCCCCGGTGCGCCCGTGGCCCCTCCCCAGACAGCTTGGGCGCCGCCCACCAAACCGGTTCCTCCACTGTCAGGGCTGCACCTCTGGTGTTGGGGCCGGGACCCGGGACAACGCATGTCCTGGTGGATGGGACCGAGGCCCCGGGACATGCTGTCCCCTGGGGGAGCTACAGGGTCTGTGTGTGTCCAGCTGGACCCCCGCCTGCCCCTGCCCCCTCGGCCCCTGGGCCAGCCTCTGTGCTCGCGGCCCCAAGGGAGGTTTACACGAGGGGGCGTGAATCCGGATCAAGGAGCAGAGCAGGGCTGGGGGCTGCGGGGTGGGAGTGAGGGGCAGGGGCTGTGGGCCGGGCGTCTGGGGTTTGGCCCTCAGCTCCGGGGGCTGGATCAGGGCAAGGGGCCATGGTTGCTCCTTGCGGCACGGTGTAAATAGTAATTACCGTGGGGCTGGGACTGCTCGGTCCCCGGGAGCCGGGGGAGGGCAGGACTCCACTGGCCCCGGGCCAGGTCACGCAGGAGGGGTGCGGGGGACACGGGGGCCCTGCCATTTCACCCCCGGTTTCACCTCGGGGAAGAGGAGATTGACGCCAAAGGGGCTGATACAACCCCCGCGCCCTCAGGCCCCAGTGGGAATCAGGATTAGCCCCCTGGACACCAGGAAGGGGGGGGGCAAAACAGGTGTCACTGTGGAGGGCTGAGCAGGGACGTGGGGTAAATCAGGAATCGCTCAGTGAAGAGATGTGGGG